AAATTAGATTTCAGATAATCCCGCACTTCAGTTCCCTTCACTGAAATAAAAAATTCAATGGCCATACCATGACGAAATCCATGACTGAGAAACCGATATTGAAAATAACTTTTAAATTTACTTTATGAATTAATAAAATAAAAATTTTTTTTAGTAAATTTGGTACTAAAACTACAAATCCGAACTCAAAAAAAATATTTTATCAGTTTTGGAATAAAACCTGGTAACATTCCGGAAGAGTCAATTTTTTTCTCTCTATTTCTGTCTGACATTAAAAAAAATAATAATTCTTATATAGGAACAGTTTAATTTGCAAAAACCTATTATAGAAAATGTCAAGCGCATCAAAAAGCAATTTCCCATGTGTCGAACGGATGTCCGACACACTCTTCCCTTGACCACTAGGTATAGAAATTAAAAATTCTAGAATTCTTCACTCTTTTTAAAGCCATTAATATTTCTTTACTATTATATATATATATATACACTATTACCAAGAATTTCTCAACTCGCGAACAATACTTTATTATACCTTCTTTTTATTTCCATAATTTCCGCACGAGATATGCGCGTAAAATCTCATTATCATGCATTTTCAATAATTTTAAATGTCTTTATAACTTATTTTGAAAATAAAAAAAAAAAAAAAAAAAATGTTCCCTGCCTGAGATGTGCATTTGACATATATGTGATGTATTCTTTAAGAAAATCATACGACATAACGACAACCTTGAAAGGCACTTTAGATGATCCGATGATAGTTATTGATTGTCTCTTTTCATTTATCTATTTAAAAATAGTTTTTATTTCATTTGACATTAAAAAGAAAAAAAAAAACTAAATGAAAGTTAAAACTATTTCTCTGTCTCTTTCCCACACTTATAATGAATTGTATAATAAAATATAAGAATACGAGTTCATTTAACTCATATATGATCACTGATTATTCGCGTGAATGAAAGATTCGTCATCGTTTGATTATAAATCATATATATATATATATATATGATGTAAAAAATAATAGTTACGGAACACTGCTACGGGGAACCTACATTCAGTCTATTTTGAATCTATTTTAAACCTATTTTCAACCTACTATGAACCTATTTTGAAACTATTTTAAAACTATTTTGAAACTTTTTTGTACCTATATTGAACTATATTGCTTCTATTTCGAACTTATTTTGAGCCTATTGTAAACCTACTATGAAACTATATAGAAACTATTTTGTATCTATATTGAACTATATTTCGTCTATTTTGAATCTATATTGAACTATATTTCGTCTATTTTGAATCTATATTGAGTTTATTTTTAACTTACTTAGAACCTATATGGAGCCTACTTTAAACCTACATTAAAACTATTTTGCGCCTGTTTTGTGCCCACTTTCAACCTATTTGTAAACTATTCTGAGCCTGTTTTGACCTATATTAAACTATATTGAGTCTATTTTGTACCTACATAGAATAAATATCTAAATCGTGTGAAAAACAATTTTATACATAAAGAATAAACATTTCTAGGTCGATTTGTATATAAAAAAATCTGCATACAATGCAGATTTTGCGCAACGAGCTTTCGATCTTCTGGGATTCTAATCACTATATTATATATACAAATCGCAGAGTGATACTCTTGCATCTTGACGACTATTAAAGGGGGGTGTAATAAATTTTCTTTCAAGACATCGTCCGTCATATTGAAATAAAGCTTTATGTTTCTATACATTAAAAGAGTAAATCCGGTATTCACATTCTCTGAAAGCTAATGGGTGGAGTTTATGTTTCGTGGAAATAAACGACAGGTAAAGAGCTCTTACAGATAATATATATATACGATGAGGAGAAATCGGGAAGCACTCTACATATATCGTTCGAAAATCTGATTAAAAATTTATGTCTCATAGATATCGTGCAATCGTGCAAAAAAGTCAAAAATTAGAAATGTTTAGAAACCCTAAAAATGTTAATCTGGAACAGCGATATATGTTTCTCTAGAATAGCGAAAACTTTCGCTGTTTTAGTGAAACATATCGCTGTTCCAGGTGAAGATTTTTTTACCTGTTGGATAAATTCTGCTGCAGATTTCTAATATCGGATATTTATAATAGAAAATATAAATAGGCTAAAAGAAACAATCTAATAATCCATTAACACGAGTGTGTTAAATTCGTGCTAATAATCTTTTCGATTTTGAGGCACGATCGCTTGAGGAACATGTACATATAATTTTACAAGAACATAGATTAATAGTGTGCGGGGCAAGAATTTTTTTTTTGTTCATACCTGAAGCAGCGGCACCAAAGGCGTTACAAACTCGATAAGACTTCAACTTATCTACCGGTTAAAAGTCAACTTTTTGACATTCAAGCAACGCGAGATGCAGTCTTTACTAACCGGCTGTGTATATATATATATATATTTATATATGAACTAACCTTGGCTAACCTCGGGTTATGCAGCAGAAACCAGCAGCGATTCGCTTCTCTCTCGACTATGTTCGTTAAACTTGATTATACTTCAAGTTGCAGTTTTCATACAGTTTGTATTATATATATTTATGTCCGAACCAATTCCGCTTTGAATATGTTCAATCTAACATTTTGATGCGCTCCTGCAGGCGAACAGATAATTGCTAGGCAAAATAAAACCACAGAAAGATTAATTCTTTTTTTGTTCATTGAATTTAAAAATAAAATTATTTAGAATCGTATTACGAATTTGAATCTAGTTTTTTTTTTGGACAATCTAGTTTTTAGATATAATATAACAAGGAAACTTATTTTTCCCTCCTGGATATTTATTTACTTCTAAATTAAGTGAAAATCACGATACTTTAATCGTTAATTGACCAGAGTCAATTAGATCCTCGTCGTGGAGATCCAATTGCAATTTATAGAATCCCGTTTCCAGCTAATTACTAGGCGGTCTTTATATCGTATATATATATATATATATATATATATAATAGGTCGTCGGATTCATTCACACGTCCTTTCTATATAAGATGACATGTCCGATTAACGAAACTTCCGGATGAGCAAACATACATAGAACCTACACTGAGCCTTCTTTGAACCTATCTTGAAACTATTTTGAAACTATTTTGAGCCTATTTAAAGGTACATTGAAACTATTTTACGCCTAATTTAAACCTACATTGAGCCAACTTTCATTCTATTTGAAAACTATTTTAATCCTGTTTTGAACCTACTTTAAACTATTCCAAATCATAATTTAGAAAATTTATTCTAAAAAATCAAAATTTAAAAAAAAAAATTATACGAATAAAATAAAAAAAAATCCAACAAAATTAAAAAGCGATAAGAAAAATTATTGACATTTGTCTTGGCGACAGCAATCGCAAATATAAAACATCTGCAAGAATTCTCAGCAGTTTTATACATACTTTTTTAATTACAAAATAATTTTAACTAAAAATCAATGTACCGTTTAAAATTTTAAATAACAACTTTCTTCTCTTTTTAATTCACGAGAAAATAAAAGAGTGCCGCAATTTAAATATCATTTTTTTTTCCTCTTATGCGGGTTAAATGCTAATTACATTGCTAATAGCATTATAATAAAATATTATTCACTGATTGTGAGAATAATAAAGTCAATAGAGACTCATATTCACTTTTAAATTAACTTATCAAAAAATTCGTAACTTTTCAATAATTGAAAAAATAAGAGAATTTACATTAATTTCAATGATTTTAAAGTGGAACTTTTTTTGATGCAGTAATTTGTTTTCAATAAACGAATCGCGCACACGTTTGTCGATAAAAATTATTGTTGTCGTTTATGATCGTCTACCGATTGCGATTGCCAATAGTATATAGCCATCATGACAAAAAGAAATAATAAAAAGCAAAGAAGTCTTGTACTGATTATAAATGGACTAAGGCCCGCCTACCATGTCGGAAACTCTATATATTTCTGCAATATAGCCCCCCCTGGAAGAAGAATTCCATCGTGGACATTGATCCTTATACTATATATCCCAACCATTCATCTGTTATAGAAGATGCAACCAACATTGCCATGAAGATTACTTTCTGAAGGTTACTTCCGAGGAAATGAGTTGCTTCCGATTTTTTCAAACAGTCGTTTCTATTTGTATAAAAATTATTAATTTTTAACTGATTAGTATTTGCTGTGATAAATATACACTGAGAAAAATATTCTATTGAATCAACAGAATTTGTGCTAAAGGCATAAAAATTATTGATTCCGAAGCATATGCTTCGTAAAATATTATATAGATTCTAATATGCTTTTGAATCAATAATTTTTATGCCTTTGGATGAGATGCTGTTGATTCGATAGCATATTTTTCTGAGTGTAGGGAAAAAATTTTAAACTAGTATCCGGAATCAAAATTCAAGAATCTGTAGGAAAAATCTGTAGATGCAAAATAAAAATTCAAAAATAGGGTTTTTTCGATTATTGCAAATGTAGTTGCATCAGTAGCTTGCAGATTTAACCATCAGTATACCCTGCAAAAATTATCCTATTGATCGAAGAGCATTTCCGAAAAAATATAAGCTGCAACGCTTATTATTTTAATCCAATTTTGCTTATTTTGATACCAAAATGGATTAAAATAAGCAAAATTGGATCTGCAACGCTTATTATTTTAATCCAATTTTGCTTATTTTAATACCAAAATGGATTAAAATAAGCAAAATTGGATTAAAATAATAAGCATTGCAGCTTATTTTAATGCCTTTTAATTTTCTCTGTGATGCAATACACAATGTTAAATTTTTTATACAGTAAAATTCGTGAGATAATTCCTCAAATAGTGATATATCTAATCTCTTTCATATGTCGTACAGATATAGATGAGTTCATCATACTCTTTTGCGATTAAAAAAAAAAAAGAAAGTGCGCCTGATTGGTAGTTATATATTTTTGACGGACATACTTTATTGCTACCCGCACAAAGATGTGTGTGCAAAAAAAAAAAAAATGATGGCATCATGCCCCACTTCTGCCCCACTATATCATAAACGAATTAAATACCACAGTCAGCACAAATAAGATACCAGTTACTATTATTCATTGCAACTGTCAATATATTTCTTACAACAATGGGAAACAAAATTTATTCTCTTCTCCTCGCTTTTTCTATTTTTCATGTAAGTTTTCAAAGAAAATTTAGTCAAAAAAAAATAATACAGTGTAAACAAATTTATTTCTTTCAAATAATCGGTTATAATTGACAAATAAATATTTAATTTTAAAATAATTATTCTTTGTATCAAATAATTATTATATGAGCCAATTAAAATTAATGGTATTTGGTCCAAATAAAAATCACTGGATCCAAATAAATATTTATTTGATAATAGCCGATTATTTGAACCAAATAAATTTTTTCCAGTGTGAATAAATTTGCATTTTCTATTTCTCTATTATTAATGTGAAATAAAACGCATTACAGGTTTGTTTATCGAATAGCATTGACGATCATTCGGAAATAATAAACGAACTAAAATCAATTGTTGCTTCCACTATTGAACAATTAAAATTGTATCAAAATAATTTTCAATCAGATGTGAAAATTAATTTACAAACAGTACAAAATGATAGCATTTGGAAAATAAATAAGGATTTAAATTATGTTTCAAGTAGCATTATGGTAAAAATATTAATAATTTATTATTTATTAATTCATAGAAAATTATAAGGTATTAAAATAAGCTGCAACGCTTATTATTTTAATCCAATTTTGCTTATTTTAATACCAAAATGGATTAAGATAAGCAAAATTGGATTAAAATAAAAAGCGTTGCAGCTCATTTTAATACCTTATAATTTTCTGTGAATTTTGCTTATTTTAATACCAAAATGGATTAAAATAAGCAAAATTGGATTCAAAATAATAAGCGTTGCAGCTTATTTTAATGCCTTTTAATTTTCTGTGTTATTATTTACTTTTTTGAAAATAAAGTGAATGCATTTTCTGTGTCATATTTTGTATGCTGTGCGCGGGCTTATATATATGAAACGATTATTGATTGACAACTTTCTAATCAGTACATGACTTCTTTTTTTTCTATTAATGAGAATCAATAATTATTTTCTTTATTCTATAATTTTATGCAATTAGAATGCAGTGAATGCAGTAGGCTCAACGGGCAAAAACGCACAGTCTTGTTATGAAGCGTGTAAAGTCAGTTTAAAGAATCTGAATAAACAAACTAATAACAAGCTTGACAAATGTTACTATTCATTTTCATATTATACTGAACCTGCTTTAAAAGAAATCAAAACTGCTATTCAGGTAAATGGATTATATTAAAAATAATAATAATAATAATAATAATATGTGGAGAAAAAAATTCAAAAAAAAAAAAAATAATCAAAATTTTAGAATGGAGAAAATATTTCCGAAGATTTGGATACAATTTTTATTGGATGCACAAAACATTTAACCGAGTCAGGTGACTGTTTAACGGAAAAAATAGAAGAGGTTCGAAAAACATTAAAAAAAATGCAAACCAATGTAAATGATATAAAAAATATTGGCACTTCCTCTATGAACAAAGCAAAGACTGTTGTCACATCCTGCAGTGAAAAAGCCGTTCGCTATTTACACGTAGAAGCAACATTTAACATACAACGAGAAGCAAATATTTGCGTACGAAATATTTACAACGAATACAATTATTAGAAAGAATTTTTGTTTCTTTAATCTTTTTTTTTTTGTAATTAGTTTTTAATGTAAGATTACTTTTTTAAAGTATAAATTTTTAACATCTAATAAAAAAAAAATTTGTTTAATTAATATCTAAAAAATATTATCTAAAAAAAAATACGATAATAATTTTAGAAATTTCAATTTTGCTGTAAAAAAAAAAGATGAAACAGAAGGGGGGCATAGGATATAAATAAGAAGCTCATCGTAAAGCAAAGAGTTGAAAATGGAATATAATACAAGTACTGAAAGTCAAGGGTACCATCAATCAACAGTGGTCGCGACCGACGCGCAACCAGTCCCCTAATTTGTTGGGTTTCTTCTATATATTTATTCGGTCTCTGACATAAGGTGTTTCTTTGCTTCGCGTAAACCGTCAAACCTTCGCCACGTTTTTAGAGTTCTCCCCTTTAAATTTTACTCACTGTCTTCGGCATGTCAAAAGCTCGGCCATTATATTATTATACTGAAAAAAAATAATTTATATTTGATTCAAATAATTACTTTACTATTATCAAATAAAACATTTACTTGAAACAAATAATTTTTATTTATTTTAAATCGTATTTGAATCACTAATTTCTGTATTTGAAACGAATTATCATTTAATTGACTTAAATAATTGTTTGATACAAATAAATAATTGTTTGACACAATTAAAGAATTATTTAATAATAATCAAGTAATCGATTAATTTGAATCAAATAATTTTTTTTTTTTTCAGTGGCAAGAGAAAATTGCACGTAAAGAAATTAAGTGACAATTAAATACAGAAGGGTATAAAGAGAGATAAGGGGGGGGGGGTATAAAATCCAGTAATGGTCGTGATATGCCTTCAGGGTCGTTAACATAAATTCATTGAGAATGAAGAACTTGTTTAATTTCTTGACGCCCATGACAACCCATTATCGTTTATTATAATGCCATTTACGGATCAAGGGTCGTCTTTGTTATATACCTTATATATGTTGACGGTTTAATTCTAATGCTAAAACGATGCCAATTTCAACTTCTATGTAATAATAATAATAATAAAAATAATTTACGCAATTTTTCTTTCATTTCAGTTTCAGATATGACAAAAATTTTTCTTTTTCTTTTGGGGCTCATGAATTTATCATTAAAAATCATGAATTATTTATATTTTATTTGTATACGAATTTTTTTAAAACGTCGAATTTTCATTTGTCCGAAATTACAAATAGAACAAACAATCGGGCAGAAATATATTTAGGCGCAATTTTTAAAATTCCACCAATTAGAAATTATCAACAAACTTAATTGTTATTAACAAATTGGTGGAATTTTAAAAATTGCGCCTAAATCATTCTGCCCGATTGTTTGTTCTATTTGTAATTTCGGACAAATGAAAATTCGACGTCTAAAAAAATTCTATCAATTATAAAAATTCGGATAAATGAAAATTTTACCAAAAACAAAAATTTTGTAACTGGTATTCCTATTTAATTTTTCGCAGTGCATCTTAAATTACCAAAGCCAAAGACAGTTTGTGGCTGACGAAAAACAAATGTTTGCATACAACTTTCTGGCGCCAACAAATTAGCTGTCGGCGTAATGCCAAAAGTCTTTAAGGTACATCGTTTCTAAAAATTTTTTTTTTCTTTTTTTTTGGCAGAATTCTCAGCTATTATATAGTTTTGAGAATGTAATTGTTGTTTGCACACTGGGGGCAAAAAATGTAAAAACAAAATTTTTAAACAGTAAAACTAGTTCACTTATACCATAAGATAAGTATCTAATATTTCCATAATAAATAAATCGCAATATTCCGCATCTTGAATATATATATAAATCATACAATCGTACAAATGGACATTCCTCCTTGAAGCGACAGGACATTAATATATGCAAGCTTTATGAACATTAGTAATGCTTTTGATTAGTATTAACTTTTACTTTTTGCCAAATTGTGCCTCGGGAAATTCTCACTTTGTTATTAAAAATTATCTATTAGTCCATAATTATGAGTAATGTTTTGAAAAACACAATTTTTCAGCCTCGTTTAATTTACAGTTACACTTATTTCAAAACGTTTTGTAACTAAATTCTGAATATATACCTATACTTTAATTTCGAATATTTGTCTAAAAATTTTGAAATTAATTATTGTCATGTATAAAAAAAAAATGTTTAAAAATTATTATTTTTATTAAATATAGACCTAAGATATATATTTTCAATGAGTATTAACACTCTTGTGGCTTACACGATCTTGTCGTAATGTCAGGTTCATAATGGCAAAAACGCCCACGCATTCTCCACACCCACTATCACCTGTATATATATAGTAAAACTTATTTGTACCTCGTTATGTACTAGCAATTAATTTTAAACACACTCTATCTTAGGTAGTGTCAGTAGAAGTTTAACTAACCATTCGAAAATAAATAGCTACAAAAATTATAATAATTTTAAAATCTGCTTACAATAAATCAAAATTTTCAATACTCTCTACGAGACGCAAAAATTATAATAAGGCTACTATTTCAATTAGTAAAATTTGTATAAGTGAATTAGTAGTCTTCTACTATTAGTCATTTCCGACTAATTCGTCAAATACGGTTACTTACACAGAAAATTAAAAGGCATTAAAATAATAAGTGTTGCAGCTTATTTTAATACCTTTTAATTTTCTGTGTAGTTATTGGCTGACTATTTAGTTAAAAATGAACAAATAGTTAAAATTTAGTTTAAAAAAATAACTAAATTTCAATTGTGTCTATTTGTGGGAAAATATTGTGTAAAACTCACTTTGAATATATATTGCGAGACGCATTCTCTCTCTCTCTCTTTCTTTTGTCTACGAATTGAGAAACTACTGGTATTACACCCGCGTGAAAATGCGTGTGTTTTCTCTTATAAAGGAAATATGTATAATTTTTCTAAGAATATAACATATGTGTAGGTTGACAATTTCCTCATGCACCCACTTAATATGTAGGGTTAATTTATCTTATCAAACAGGAACAATATCTATCTATCCATCTTTAAGAAAATATGTCGCTTATTTATAATGCAATTACCACTTATTATGAGTCATAAATATTTGAAGAAAAAAAAATCGCTTTATGACACTTTAGCATTTGAAAAATATATTTTTTTTTATTTATTATAACTCTTTGAATCTACATTAATTAAAAATAGTCAGTTAATAAAAAAAAATAGCTAAACATTTTAATATAGAAAAAATTATTTAAATAAATAAATATGGAAAAATAAATTTAAAAATTGTTTCAATTTAACAAAAAAAAAAAAATTAGAAAAAAAATATTCTTTTAATCACAAATCTTAAATATGACGTAGTCAGGTGTCAACGCTCTTTTTATGATTAGCATAAAGCATCAATCGTTAGTCATATAATGCGAATCAAACGATCGCAAAAACGAGCTATGAAACTTATGCAAGATATATATATATATATGATGAATGAATTTCCCGAGGCCCATAACGTCATACCTGTCCCAGTAATGCCAAAGTAAATTGTGTATATTTCTACGATTGTAAACATATACATTTTTATTGGTAATTAATTAAAAAATCAATTGTTCACTAAATGTCGATATTCAATTGATGGTAAATGTGAACAATATAGTCGACAATGGAATTTTATATTTACATTCTTAATTCATATGTAGTATGATTAAAAATAATTCATATGCTTTAATTTTGTATAAAATAATTCAAAAAGAATGATTAAATACAACAATGATGACAAAAAAATATTTTCAATTCTTTACGCGAGTGAAGCTATTTAATTCTAATCCTCATATTTATACGTTTAGCACGTTCAGTGGATATGGGCAATTTTAGTCAGCCGAGTGACGGGAAACAATGCGCGGCTAGACTACTTGATTAAAAAAGAAGAAAGTAAATGACCGATTTACTGTAAAATTATGTAAATACTCTTTTTAAATTCGAATTAATTAAAATATAATTTAATTTTTAGTAAAATTTGAAAGATTTTTTTTGGAAATAAATAATAAAAAAAACAACTAATTTTTAGTAAAAATATTACTAATTTTAAAAAAAAATAACTAAAAAATTGTAAAAACTAATTTACTTCATTAAATTTGGGAGATAATCCTTCCGGAAAATCACCAAAGTCTAAACCAGGGAGTCTCGAACAAAAAATGTATGGCGCACTTTTTGATTGGTCCAGCGGATGCTGAGCTACACTCAAAATAAAATTTGGAAAAATTTTCGAAAAATTAAATTTGCGAGATAACTTCTCCGGAATACTGCCAATAAAATAGGGAAAAAGTTTCGATCAAAAAATGTATGGCGCACTTTTTGATTGGTCCAGCGGATGCTGAGCTACACTCAAATAAATTTCCGAAAAATTATCGAAAAATTAAATTTGCGAGATAACTTCTCCGGAATACCGCCATTAAAATAGGGAAAAAGTTTCGATCAAAAAATGTATGGCGCACTTTTTGATTGGTCCAGCGGATGCTGAGCTACACTCAAATAAATTTCCGAAAAATTATCGAAAAATTAAATTTGCGAGATAACTTCTCCGGAATACCGCCATTAAAATAGGGAAAAAGTTTCGATCAAAAAATGTATGGCGCACTTTTTGATTGGTCCAGCGGATGCTGAGCTACACTCAAAAAAAAATTTGGAAAAATATTCGAAAAATTAAATTTGCGAGATAACTTCTCCGGAATACCGCCAATAAAATAGGGAAAAAGTTTCGATCAAAAAATGTATGGCGAACTTTTAGATTGGTCCAGCGGATGCTGAGCTACACTAAAAAACTTTTTGGAAAAATTTTCAAAAAATTAAATTTTCGAGATAATTGTTTTGGAATACCGCCAAAAAAATAGTCAAAATGTTCCGAACAAAAAATGTATGGCGCACTTTTAGATTGGTCCAGCGGATGCTGAGCTACACTCAAAATAAAATTTGGAAAAATTTTCGAAAAATTAAATTTGCGAGATAACTTCTCCGGAATACCGCCAATAAAATAGGGAAAAAGTTTCGATCAAAAAATGTATGGCGCACTTTTTGATTGGTCCAGCGGATGCTGAGCTACACTCAAATAAATTTCCGAAAAATTATCGAAAAATTAAATTCGCGAGATAATCGCTCCGGAATACCATAACTGTCTTTAGCAAAAAGTAGCGAACAAAAAATGTATGGGGCACTTTTTGATTGGTCCAGCGGATGCTGAGCTACACTCAAAATAAAATTTGGAAAAATTTTCGAAAAATTAAATTTGCGAGATAACTTCTCCGGAATACCGCCAATAAAATAGGGAAAAAGTTTCGATCAAAAAATGTATGGCGCACTTTTTGATTGGTCCAGCGGATGCTGAGCTACACTCAAATAAATGTCCGAAAAATTATCGAAAAATTAAATTTGCGAGATAACTTCTCCGGAATACCGCCATTAAAATAGGGAAAAAGTTTCGATCAAAAAATGTATGGCGCACTTTTTGATTGGTCCAGCGGATGCTGAGCTACACTCAAATAAATTTCCGAAAAATTAAATTCGCGAGATAATCGCTCCGGAATACCATAACTGTCTTTAGCAAAAAGTAGCGAACAAAAAATGTATGGGGCACTTTTTGATTGGTCCAGCGGATGCTGAGCTACACTCCAAATAAAATTTGGAAAAATTTTCGAAAAATTAAATTTGCGAGATAACTTCTCCGGAATACCGCCAATAAAATAGGGAAAAAGTTTCGATCAAAAAATGTATGGCGCACTTTTTGATTGGTCCAGCGGATGCTGAGCTACACTCAAATAAATTTCCGAAAAATTATCTAAAAATTAAATTTGCGAGATAACTTCTCCGGAATACCGCCATTAAAATAGGGAAAAAGTTTCGATCAAAAAATGTATGGCGCACTTTTTGATTGGTCCAGCGGATGCTGAGCTACACTCAAATAAATTTCCGAAAAATTAAATTTGCGAGATAACTTCTCCGGAATACCGCCATTAAAATAGGGAAAAAGTTTCGATCAAAAAATGTATGGCGCACTTTTTGATTGGTCCAGCGGATGCTGAGCTACACTCAAATAAATT